CGTGTTTGTGAGTCTCCTTTGTTCTGCACAATACCAGATAGGCGCATCTCAATGGGGAAGTCACCAATCGGGTGGATGACCGGGGGTAGCTTCACTGAAGCGGTAAGGTTCGTGGGAGGGAAGATGCGGATGGAGTGCTTCTCGGCTCCGGGAAAGATGGCGCGCTTGATGTCCAGATTGCGCTTGTAGGTAATCTTACCCGATGAGGTAGTAGCAACAGCGGAAAGGTAGTAATCGACTGTGGCGAGGGTACCATGTGTAGTCGCAGGCAAGTGTCCCGGCAGCAAGTGGCTGAAGGGGAATGTGTGTGGGCCATGACGCAGCGAGGTAGGATGCGTCAGGAACTCCCACTTGTGGATTTCGGTGGTTTGCGTGCTGCAATCGGGGCAGTGTGGGGCGACAGGCTTCTTAGTGGAAACGATGGCGAGCATGCGCATCTCGAATTTTTCCACGGTGACGTAGGGGTCATGAACGTTGATGACGAGCTGACCCGAGAAAATAGCGCCGGTCGAAGACTGGGGGCTGTTGTAGAAGACGATGGGCGGCGACTCAACGCTCATGTTCATGGAAGCCGCGCCCTGAGCCTCCACTTTGGGGCTCTTCTTGACTTCCTCTTTTTCTTTCGCATGCTTGTCATGCTTGTGGCGGTTGAAGATGTCCATGACGAGCGACTCTTCCGACTTTGACTTTGCTTTTACGCGGGGTGCGTCGTAGGAGTAGACGGGCGGCAGCAGGCCCTCGGCGTGCGGTTTGACGTGGTCCAGTTTAGGCAATGGCGTGGGAGCCACCCTCGCGAGGGTGCTCAACAGGCGACCGGGCATGTCTGATAAAGAATCCGGGGTAGGGCTGAGATTGAGTGACGTGAGTGGATGTTGGCAGCTGTGAATCTGCGAGATAAGGAGCTGTCCAATGGAGTGAGGGAGTGGGCCGAGATCCGATATGCAGGTGCAGCAACTGTTGAATGCGGCGGCGTTCAAGAGTTAACCTTGTGGGAGTGGAGGTGGTTATAGAGAGTCTGTGGCAGGAACATGTTCTAGCTGTCAAAGTAACCAAAGGGGTAGCTCGGGGTAGGGCGTGGTCTTATTTAAAGGCGTTTAGCATTCTGAGGGAAGTTTTACATGAGAGAAACTCGATTTCGCATGATTTCATCGGTTATACCAGATGCAGGGATTGCGCACGCCACGCTAACGGGTTCTGGCAAGCACACCCCTGCGCCTTTCATGGAATTTTTGGGTCAGGAGGAAGGAACGCACGGCCTGCCGCTCTCGCGATCGCCCAGTAGCTGTCGTGCCTGCCAACTAAAAAGACGTCAACACCTGGGCAACCTTCTCAGCTGAGCTGGTACGAGAGCATCGTGCCTGTCGCGCCCTATACCGGTGTATGCAGCGCATTCCCCATCACCATGCATTACCAAGCGCTTGCTGCTGACCGCCGATTCATCACCAGGCCGAACGCATTCCGAATTCCAGCTCGTGCTTTGGCCGCCGCCAACAAGCACCGTGGTGGCTTGACTATGCGGCCAACATGTGTGACTCGCCGACGGCCATTCACTTCAGCACACATTGTACCAGAGGGTCTCCACCCGGAAACCCTGGGGTGCTCGTCCATCGCAACGGCACACTGTCCGCCCGCTAGCCATCATTCGCTGACGCACATCTGATGCCCTGTTCCCCGCAACATGGCGTTGTGATCGCCTGCAAAGTGCGACTCTGGGGACGAATATTCGAGCATCTCCTCGGACTGCCCATACACCGGCGCGACTCCCCGCATTCCTCAAGGGCGCGCATCGTCACGTCAGGAGGTGCACCTGACACGTATTTGATGACCGCTTATGCGCCCTACTCGACTACATTGCGCATTGCTAATTGTGCAACGTCTTCGTCAATTCACAGTCATATTCGTGCTCATCGTGATGGCGACAGATGCCAAGCCGCGCCGGCGTTAGGTAATGCAACGAGTTTTTCCTACACCCACCGTGGAGCGAGCAGAAACGCTGACTGGGTACTCCACCTGTCCCAGATCCTTTACAGCTTCTTTGCACACTTTGGCGTTCCGGCCCGATATTGGCTGTTACCTACGATGCGTCGTGTCAAAGCCTCCACTTGTTGAGGGACCAGACTGGTCTACATTACTCGATGGAAACTGCACCGGTTCCGATCACGCAGCCACTTTCGCGTCGGAAATGCCCGACGAGTCCATGTGGATCAGGGCAGACGAAGCCTCCAAACACCACCTAGAAATCTCACGATACTTCGCTTAACAACGGCGACGCTTGCATGGCGTCCGCGATCTGCCAAGACTGAGGCGCCCGATCCGGTAAAACAATTGCATTCTCTGCATATCCCTGATTACCTGAACCATACACTGAGTCCATGTGGCGCACCCATGGTTCGTTCAAGGATCTCTTTCCCGTTGACATGTGCAACTCAGCATGCCACGCGTAGCTTCAGGGTTGGAGTCATCATGGCGAAATTTGACCTGAAACTGACGCCATCCAATGGCCCGTGAACGTGTCATGACGGGACCACACTGGCAGCACGAACACCATTTCACCGCTTCTGTGGTTGCTGAATGCAGACACAACTCGCGGTGTCTAGACCTCTAGAACAGTGCCCTGCATTGCGGCTCTCTGTAGCCTCATCCGGGCGCAAAGCTTCGATCTACGACGGGCCGATTCGGTATACCTCTCTTGATCTCCAGTCCAGTATTGCACGGCGCTCCCGTTGTGGCGCTTTTTGCATCGGGGTCTTTTCCGTCGTATTAAGGCTGTTATTGTCACGAACCAAAGTAAGCATCATGGCTTCTAGCTTCGTCGGTCTCGCTTTCTGTACTGAACGCCGAGCAACCCCGGATCGGAATGCGGAGTAGCAACCGGAACATATCAAACTCATCCAGTCCGAGAACCGCTTGTCTTTTATCCTATAGCACTACCTCCGGGCATATTCAGAAATCTCTGCGCATGCCACTGACAGCTAGACAGGTGGTACACGCAAGCGCGTCACCAGGACACGTCTGAACACGCCTTATACCAAGTGGATCGCGTTTGGCGAGACATGGTTTTCTCGCAACGAGTGTACCCGCACCAACGCATCGCTAGTACCCGCATAGGAACAGTACCAAGATCTCCACGTACGTCGATCTACCGTGTACAGCATGCAACAGCTTTTTCTAGTACATGTAGCAAGATTTTCCACGCCCCATAAAACACCAGAACGGCGCAAATCTGCATCCTCACTTCCTACCTGGAATAGCTCCTTCAATTGAAGACATGGTGGGTTCGACGTCTCGTTGCATATCTTTACACGACGTAACCCATTTTCCATGAAATCACCTTCGGATTCAGCCGCTATTCGTACAATTGGAATAATGCGCTGTGCTTGAGTTCTTTTTGCAGCTGTGTTCAGGATCGCGACTGAGTAGGCACGACGCATGCTCCACAGTCAGCGCTTGCGCGGAAGATATTGCAACCTTCTCCCTAGCATCGTGTGGAGTAAGTGGGTATGGCATTCGATTCGAGCTAAACGTGTTCTCGCGTGTGACATCGCAAACTTTTCTCAGGGATCCCTGTTCCTGTAAACAGACTCACACCATGTATCCCCACCGTCAGGCTCAGAAAACTCCATTAGCGTAGAACAAGTGTTTCGGACATTGCGTTGAAACCAGAACTTTCAAAGTAGAGAATAAGTCGCGCATGAGCATGCAGTTGAGGAAGTGACAGGTGCATCAATTCATTAGATCGTGCTACGTGCCATGTAGACCTTCACCCATCCTGCTGTCCGAACCCTAGACTCCATACTATGCAAGCCGTGTTGGTATCTTCTAGTGGTATCGTAGATCTACTCGTCGTCCTCATCGGCCTCGTCGTTGACGACGTTGAAGAAGCGGAGCTCATAGACGCCCTTGGAGGTGGAAACGACGCGGAGCCAGTCACGGAGCTGCTGCTTCTTGAGGAACTTCTTGGTGCTGTCAAGCTATTAGCCAACATCCTTCCCTCTGAAGCGTCGGGTCTTCAACATACAGGTACTTCAGGTAGCGGCCAGAGAACTCCTGGTGCGCAATGACCTCGATCTTGCCATCGCCCTGCTGGCTGATCTGGATGGTATCACCAAGGTTACCGGTGCGGCCCTCAACCTTGATGCGGTCGTGCAGGAACTTCTCGAAAGCCTGGATGTCGAAGATCTTGTCGTTGACGGGCTGCGAGCAGTTGATGATGAACTTCTTGGTGACCTTTTGGCCCTTCTTGGCGGCAGCGGAGCGCTTCTGTAACTTGAGTACTTAGCCTACTGTTCTTGTGCGCGTGGGGTGCTCCCTTGCGCTGGACAGCAAAGCGGTTGTACGTACGGTGGTGGACATTCTGGCGGTATGGGGAGGGGAGCGCAAAGAAATGGATATCCTGCGTCTGATTTGGAGGGGTTGGAGAATGAGTGAGTGTCGCGCGGTGCGCCAGAAGTTCGAGCAGTTCAAAATTGCCGGCACGATGGTGGGGTACTAGACCCGAAGAGGCTAGTGGCGCCGAGTGTTCGAGCAGCTCGGTACCTGAGGTCATCATCATCGTTGTTGATGCCTCCCAGCAATTAAACGCCCTGACTATTATTCCTGCATTTCGAAAGTCAATAACCTCCGCGCATGCTTTCCATGAAGGGCGCGACACGGCTGTTACATCCACATCACGAGCCAGCCATCCTCGTCCTTCTATGCGAGCGCGATCACTCGTCTGTATATTTTCCAACAGTCAAACACGCGTAAGAAACCCATTACACTATCGAACAGACCATCTTCCGAGACGATTGATATTATGTTATCACATCTAGCGTTTCTATTTTAGTTCTACTGCCACGTTCTAAGGTCTGCTACCGAGGCCATTGCATTCCAAGGTTCACTCCGTCACCCCATCTGCATGATACAGCGCTATTGAGAGGCCGAGAGCCTGGGCAGTAATTGACCAGATATTGTTGAGCCATTATTGTAGACGTGCTTGCCCTTATAGATGACAATCTTCCTCAGTTTCGGCGGAACCGGTTGCGCAGACGCGAAAACAACCCGCTTTCGCGATTGATTTCACACTCGGCGTCCAATGCCTCCTCTTGCATAGAGTCGATTAAGTCGTCATTCTCGGCCTCCTGCCCCTCATTCTCGAGCCGTGAAACCGGCTCACGTGCGCGAGCTTGACACATCTCTGCACGGCATTGCGGGCATGCGTTCGCACCGTTCATAGCTGACTCATTGACCCAGCTGTCTAGACAGACTTGATGGAAGTAGTGAGCACACTTCGTAATCACTGGTCGTTCTTCGTTCTTGTTGTCTTCGTGGACATCGACCATACATACGGCGCATGCGACACCCTCAGGAACGCTCTGCACTGGTTTGCAGAAATCCTCGATCAGAATACGCTCGCCAGTCGGTTGAAGATCGTCATCCATGTCCGAATTGACATCATCGTCAGAATCTCCTAGGTATGTGAAGGGAAGTTCTATGGTGCTGTGCAACATCCCATCCTTGTAACCCCGACTTGCTTCGACAAACTCGCGGAAGCTCATGTTCGAGCGGCACGTAGGTATGTGCGCTTGGCTCATAGCACTTAACACTTGTACTGTCACGGGCTCAAGGAAAGCTGAAACAATCCAAAAGGCTTCTCGATTATTCAGTGGACGCAAGCTAGATACTTCCCTGAAAGCTCGAGGGCCGGAAAGGCGTCGACCTTCGAGCTTTGCTTCGCAGAACGTGGCGAGTTCTCTAAGATCCAACTCGCGGAGTGCGGGACAATCACGACATTCCATTTCCAAGTAGTTCTCCAAGTCTTTGCAGTAACGCTGGATCTGCTCCGGAGTCGGATGCTGTGTTAGGAAAGCCGTCAGAATGATGGCAGTCCTCTCTAGTGTCGCGAAGAACCAGCCGACGTTTTTTGCCGATACCTGGGACAATACTCCTGGTACCACGATAGCCAGGCTAGGAAAGTATCGGTGTAGTTCATCGAGATCGGCACGGAATTCTTCTGGAAAGAGTGCGAGGCTTGCGTGCCGTAACCAACTCATCCTGATCCCGGGTGGGGTGGCTGCGTAAAGAAATAAGCGAATCATACTGAATGTTGCGTGTAGGTTGAGTTGGATTTTTTCGCGTGCGTTAATGATAATGAGGAGGGGAATAATGGAGACTTTTATGACTTCAAGGTCATAAGTGCAGGCTAAGAACTCACTGATCGAAGGTCAGCGAAGTTGCCGGACCGTACAGTAGTGAAAAGCCGCGAAGGAATCGATCTAAGCACATGCGTGCAGGAGAAACTGGCTATCTGGTCGACTCTGGTACAAGCTTTCATTCTCCTTTCTACTAGGCATCTCTTGACTTGACCACCGCATCATCCATCCGCAGATATTCCACGGTTTTACCAGCGTGCTTCCCCGGTTATATGCTCTCATGTCGGGTTGGTTGTACGCTGTGCGTCGAAAGATCACGCCCATCTTGTAACTCTTAACGCGCGCCTTTTGATACCTTGACCGCAATATTTTGAAGCAAAATATCTCCCTTTACCTAAATGTTGAGTACAGATTGTAGATTGCTCTCGCTAGGCGACATGTTCAGCCGAGCTGCCTCTGACGCTAGAGTGCATGTACGCCATAGTATTCGCAGCTCCCCGTCTTCCTACTAGACGAGGCTCCACGGTAAAATGCGGAAGACGGAAGTGATTGCTCACTTCCACGCTGGCTTTTCGACGTCGTTCTGAAGCAACACCGGGTGTCGGAAAGGACCCCTGGCACGTGCCGAGATCAGCGCGTTCCGAAAAGAGTATAGTGTCTGAAACGTTCCGAGACCCGGTAGCATCATCGACTGATGCGATGCGATAGGTGGATGTCCTTGCATCGCCTTCTCGACAACGACATAAAGATGGCGGATGATGCGGATAACAGATGCCGTTGCATCATATTCGGACCGCGTCGCGTATCAGGCGTCCAATGTGATAGCACTGCAAGGCAGACACGAGTGGCTGCCTAACGCGGCGCAGTATTCATATGACAACCCGCCTTAAGATTGCCTCCATCTCATATATTCCTTCCGTCATCCATCGCATACCTCCACTGAGAATTTCAATCATGCTCTTCTCGCCAGTGATGCGCAATGCCGTTCTCCAGGCAACCGCCATCTGCACCGTCTCGCTGCTCTACAGCCATTATGCCGAAGAAAACATATTCGCCGAAGTAACGCAGGATGAAACATTCAAGACACTTCTCAACCTTCTCACCAATGGGACATTGTCCAATGCTACCATTCCTGGTTTAACAGACCAGAGTGGCCAATTAGCAATCGATGCCAAACCCACGGTCAACACCTCCGACGGTGCCTCGTTCTCCTTTGCCCTCCAGCATGGCAACGAAACTAGAACTGGACTCAATGGGACCAATGGCATTAACGGGACTGCAGGTAATGAGCTACCGGAATCTTTCTATCGGCGAAGGCTGCCAAGAGAAGTGATCATTTCACTAGCGCTCGCTATACTACAGTATTGGTGGCTCATTGGCCTTGAAAGGATCTTGCCTGCTCGACCGAGATATCGAGACGCCCCAGCGCAGCAGAAGGAGCAAGTCGAAGAGAGCGAAGATAGAGAGGAAGAGGTAGTGAAGAAATGGATCGCACAGGGCAGAGTGCATCGAGCGTCGTTGAACTGGCGCAATACTTTCGTCAAATGGGTGCTCGATATGACAGTCGGCATGCTGTTTATATTCACAGTGGAGCATATGCTTCGGCAGCTTCTCAAGATGAAGTCACCAATGTTGATCTTCAAGGGCTTGGGCGAAGTAAGTTCTTGTCTTCATTTTTCGGCATGGCATCTCACTAACGTGCCGACTAGCACCTTATCTTCAACTTCCTGGGCACATTTTTCTCCGTCACTCCGCTTGTTCGCCTTGCAGCCTTCATACTGGCTCCAGCCTACAAGCAGATAATCTTCATCGAAGGTATCCAGCTAGTCTGGACGGTCTTCTTCATACAGTTCTTGCGCATAACAGCCTCATGGGCGGTCAAAACGGAGTTTGTCCAGACCTTCATGCAGAATATGACCAGAGAGCACGAGGCAAATATGAAGTATCAAAAGTATAGAACTATTCGGGACAGAGAGCTGTGAGTCTGTAGACTAGCAAAGACTACCATTCAATCGAACTTTCCACCTCTACACTACTGCCAGCTTGGCGTTACGGGAATAATCGTACTCAGTTTCGTCTGCCATGTTTCCATCGAAAACTGTCTTACCTATCTTCCCCGACTTATCTTCATAATCCAACCACATGAGCGCTTCCTTTACCAGATCTGATGGCCCAGCAACGGTTGGCACATGCCATTGGTCCGCTCCTTGGCTCACAAAGTTTGCATGTGCACTATCCTGTGCCTGGGCAATGATGCGCGCGCAGTCGATGCGTGAGAAAGAAGCCCGAGGCGTTGCAGGAAACTTCCCTTTGGATTCAGAGGTCCTAGTCAGAGTTGACATCGATGCGCGAGGTGTGGCCGGAAGTGATTTGTCGGATGGTAGGTAAGGAAGCCGGCGGTTCATGTACCAGGCTTCCCAGCCCGTTCTCGACGGCGCTGGCGCTGCTGGCGTTCGGAAGGCTAGTTTGGAAGTACTCTTCTTTAACTTCGTTTTGGGCTTCAGGCTCGGAACTGAAGTCTTTCTGCAAGAACCTTTGGGTGCGTATGTTCGTGTCTGCGATGTCCTGGCCGCTAGTCGCTGACTCCACTTCGCAATATACTCAGCGAGCAAATTCAGGAGTTCTGCACACTTCTTGCACAGCCTCTCACCCAGTTTTGGTCTCGCTACCCGGTGGTTGGGCGTCTCCACAGGTCCTGACCTGACGTGTTCCTCATAGGCTTCATCACTCAAGACTTCAGGCAAAGGCACGTCTCTGCGCCTTGTTCGCGTCGTCATACTGGATGCATTCTCTGATATGGTGTGATATTCGCCGGCTGGGAAGAACTCATGGCGATCACTTCTGAATGACAGCTCTTTAGATACCGAATTGGTCTGCGGTCCAGATGTAGATGCGCCTGTACCAATAGAATCAGCATGATGTGAGTCTACGGTGTCGTCCCGCAGCGCTGCGGAACTGCGCTGGAAGGGGATTGCGGGTGCTGGCCTAGGGTTGTCCAGCCAAGCTTCAGCCTTGAGTTCTAAAACACTGTCGCTATCTTTAATTGACAGGGAGTCGCAGTTCGTAAGTGGCCTCTCAAGGATGGGGTCATGTCTCGACCTTCGCATTTCCAGTAGGAAGGGATTACTGGTCTTTGATGGCGTCAGGCTGTCAGGGCTCTTACGCCGGGTATTGTATGGTGGTTTAGAGAACTCACCTGCACGAACTTCGCGGCGATCTACCTTCCTATGTTCCGTCCTTAGGAACTCTTCGGCGGTACAAACATCCCATGACTGAGGCCAGCAATCTTTCCGGAAGTTCCGGTCAACGGGCGAAGGAGGTGAAGTCGTTGTCTTTGTGGAAAGCGTGCTGGAGTTACGGAACGTGCGAGGCTGATAACCCGAGGATTGAGTTTGGCCAGCTAGATCTTCCCACTCGGATTGCCAGTCTTCGTTTTCCTCACCTTCATGCTCCAGATCTCTTTCATGACCGGCACCGCCCCTCAAGCCGGAGTCTGGGTGGTCACCAGTGCGGAGGGTTGTTTCATTGCAGATCCCAGGCCAGATGGTGTTCTCCGAAGATCTCCTAGCTAATATTGGCGGCTTTGAAGCGTCGTCTTGGTACTTAGATGTAGCATTGCTTCTAGCGTAGTCTTCCTCAATGAACATTGCTTGACAATAGTCGCAGTGCTCTCGATGTTCGTCCAGCTGCATAGCCCAGACTTCGCATTGAGCACCTCTTGTATACTTGTAACTTCTGGAGCGCTTGTCTCTGAACTGAGGATTCATTCGCTTAGTACGTTGCCAGTCAAAGAGGCTGATGCTATCCTCGTGCCGTTGAAAGAACTTGGCAGGGAACATAAGGCGGCCTAGTCTTATGCTCAAAGGACTTTTTACCGTAATGATCGCCTCGTTTGAACTTAAGCTAGGAGTATTTGGTGCCAGCGTACCATAGGATTTCGGAGTGATAGGTGGGACACCTGGTGCAGCAGGCAACTTGGGATTTTGTAGCGGGAACTCTCGGTTGCCATGTGCATCATGGTTCCAGTACTCAGAATCACTACCACCGCCGCGAACGGATAACAAACAGTGTTGCTTTACCTCTTTCGTCTCAGAGAAGCTCTCACTGTCATTTACAGGATGTATCTGACACGTACAGAACTTCGGTGAGCTGGTCTCAAAGTCGTCTTTGACTGCGTCGTTGAGCGAGTTGATCAAATCACCAATATCTTCGTAGTAGTCTTGCTCTTCTTCGCTCGACGCGGTTCTGACCGAGGTATTGGTAGACGACTTGGATGTTTTTAGATCGATGTCAAGCTTCGTTAGTAGCTTCCCGAGAACGTCCACATCCTCCTCATTCACCTTCCATGCAGCTATCTTTGTTTCGCGATCCAAGTGACAGTCACTCGGAACATCGCATATGCTAATTGTGATACGCTCATCGCTGACGTTCTCGGGCAACTCTATACCCATCTCTTCGCGGATCTTCATGATCTCCAAGACGCGCGCGATGTATGGGTCGTTGGTGAGCGATTCTTCTCCGTCATCAATTTCAAGGATGCGACAGATTTCAGGCAGTGTCGACCTGTGTGGAAACTGGTATAGGTGCGGAGAGGCACCAGCAAAGTTGATGATGGATTCCTTTGGATGGAAGTCGAAAGACTTCGCTTTGATAGTGGCACACGCAGGGGAAGGATCGGAGGGGAATGCTGGTAGAGTCGTGTTCTTCGTAGATGTCACCGGTGATGATGGATCTTCGTTACCGCCTCGCATCGTTCCCAGGCCTGGCGATTCCACAGGAATTTCGTCAATCAAGACTCCGTCTTCCTTATCATCCGCGCGTACCGTACGAGATGTATCACTCTCGATTAAATGCATCAAGCGGGCCTTGAGAACCTCCAGGTCTTCAGCGATCGCGTTCTT